TTTATTTTATTTTATTTTATTTTATTTTATTTTATTTTATTTTATTTTATTTTATTTTATTTTATTTTATTTTATTTTTTAATTTTTTTTTATTTTTTATTTTTTATTTTTATTTTTTATTTTTTAAATATCTTTAAATTTTTTAATTTTTATATTTTTATGTTTATTTTATTATATTATTTTATTTTATTTTATATTATTTAAATTTCTTTAATTTTTTTATTTTTATTTTTATTTAATTTAATATTATTTTTAATATTTAAATATATTTAAATTTTTATTTTTTATTTTTATTTATTTTATTTTATTTTATTTTATTTTTTTTATTTTAATTTTATTTTTGGATTTATTTTATGTTGAAGAAGCTGTTTGGTCCCGTTTGGATGTGGCCCAGAGGGATTCAGAGCCCTGAGGATGTAGGACCAGGGCCACTGGTGGCCTTGGCAGGGCTGGGAATGGTTGGATTCCATGGTCTTGGAGGGCTTTCCCAGCCTGAACGTTCCGGAATTTCCTTCCCCACGTGAAGCTCATCCTGTTTCCCTGGACTTTTCCGTGTCCCTCCAGCACCACAACCCTCCTTTCCCATCGTTATCCCTCCTGCTGAGCTCACAGAACCCTGGGATGGTTTGGGTGGGAAGGGACCACCTGGATCAGCTGGATTTGATGATCTTGGGGAGCTTTTCCTTTGCTTTGGTCCCCCTTGGCTTTGTCCGGTGATTCTTTGACTCCACCAAAACCTGCGGCGGGAAGGAGAACTCCGCGCGCGTCTCTTCCGCCTAACCCCGCCTTGGAATTCCCGTTTCCTTGCAGATTTGACTTTGAGAGCCTGGAGAACAGCGTGGAGAGCTCCATGGACAAGTCCAAGCCCTGGAGCCGATCCATCGAGGACCTGCACAGGGGCAGCAATCTGCCCTCTCCCGTTGGGAACAGCATCTCCCGCTCCGGCCGGCACTCCACCCTCCGGTACGGAATCCTTGGGAATCGCGGTGTGGGACAGCTCTTCCCACTGGGATATCCCTCAGCTCCCAGCAGAGGTGTGGCACACGAGGCTGCTGTGAGGTGGAAGGAAGCTCTCAGAGGTGGGAATCGCTTCCAAGGGCAGGATGAGCTGAGGATGCGATTCCTTGTCCTCTTCTCCAGAACAGAGCTCAACATTTCCATGGATCCAGTTGCATCCATCCCGTGTCCTGTCCCTTCCAGCAGCACATTCCTTCCATGCTGCCAGGAACGGGATATTGGATTCTTTGGAAAGGCCACTTCCCTCCCCCAAACCCGCTGTCACCCTCTCACTATTCCACGCTTGACTACCAAGTGTTTCTTTCCCAGTATTCCTTTTTTTTTTGTTTTATTTATGGAAAAGGCAGGATCACTTCCCAGGGTTGCTTGACAGTCACCTCTCCCCCATTCCTTGGATGTCCCACTGCACCCCAGCTCCCAGTGCTGTCCCTCAGGCCGGGCTCCGAGTGCCAGATCCTTTGGGATGATTTTTCCGGAGTTTTACTCCCCAATCCTGGGAGCAGCAGATTCCAGGAGCAGAGCCTCACATCCATCCCATCCCTTCCAGCAGAGGTGGTTTGGCTTTGCCAGGCGGTGACCTCGGCCCCGGGGTTGATGTTGAGCGCTTCCAAACCTTGTACCTGGAAGATTTAATTCCCAGAGAGCTTTCAGAAAGAAATCCGGCTGTGGAGTGCAGCAGGATCACTTGGCCAGATTATTTTGGGGTTAATTTTGGTGGTTTTGATGCTCTTTGCTCCTTCCTTCTGCCAGAAGTGGCGGAGCCTGAGCCGGCGGGAGGCGCCGGATCCGCCGTGTCCTTGGGAGGAGCGCTCGGGATTAGGAATGCCTCAATCAGGAATACCTTACGTGTCTCTTACATTGTTTCTCTTCATTTCCTTCCACCCTTTTCCCTTCCTCACATCTCCCTTTATCCCTCACCCGGCTGACTCCCCGCTCCAACATCTCCCCGTTCCCTGTTCCCGCTGGGACGCTCCTTCCCGGCGCTCCCACCTCCTCTCACGCCCCATCAGATCGCTTTCTCTGCCCGAACACCTCCAGCTCAAACGCTGCCACAGCTGCTCGGCAGCCGACTGCCTCTGGAACATCCCGTAAGTCCGCGTGGAAGGAACACCCCAGCAGGCCGCGGCTGACGCCATCCCACAGGATCCCCAGGAGAAGGGATCCGGGCTCCGTTATCCCGTCCCGATCCCGTAGCTGGCTTCCGCAGGGCGGGATTTTGGGAAAGGCTTGGCGTGGAAGAGCTGAGTTTCCCTCCTGGCAGTGCAGATAGTTGTGTTTGATACTCGTAGAGCTCGTGGTGCTTGTCCCTCCGATTTCCCTTTTTTGTTAGAAACAAAACTCGATCGGACCCAAACCCGCCACGGAAACGGGACCTGGGAGAGTTTTCCAGCCAAAATTCCCCTCCTGCTTCCAGAACCTTCTCAGCACTGGGGCAGCGTCTTTGCATTGCGTTTGGGAGGGTTATTTTGGTTTTGTTTTTTCTTAAATCTGTGTTTTTAATATTCTTTTCCATGGGTTTTGTTCAAAATGTGAATTTTTTAAAAATTAGGTGGTTGTGAAAATGCAGGTTTTGGGGTTTTTTTAAAGGTCTGTTTTTAAAAGTGTATTTTATCAATAGCTGGGGATTATCTGTGTTAAAAAATCCCCTGAAAGTTAAAGGTAGGTGAGAGATTTTAAAGAAGGGAGGGGTTTTTATTAATTATATTTATATATATATATATAAAGTTTTAAAATAATTATATTTATATATCTATAAAGTTTTAAAATAATTATATTTTTATATATCTATAAAGTTTTAAAATAATTATATTTTTATATATATATAAAATTTTAAATAATTATATTTATATATGTAGTTTTTAAATAATTATATATAAATAGTTTTTAATAATTATAATATTTTATATATATAAAGTTTTTTAATAATTAGAATATATATAAAGTTTTAAATAATTACAATATATATATAAAGTTTTAAAATAATTATAATGTTCATATATATAAAGTTTTTAATAATTATAATATTTTATATATATAGTTTTTAAATAATTAGAATATATATAAAGTTTTAAATAACTATGTTTATGTATATAAAGTTTTTAATAATTAGAATATTTCATATATATAAAGTTTTAAAATAATTAGAATACTTTATATCTATAAAGTTTTTAATAATTATATTTTATATCTATAAAGTTTTAAAATAATTATACACAAATATTATAAAATTTTTAATATAAATATAATAATAAAAATAGAACTACAATAATACATAAATATATGAATGTGTAAATATACAAATATATAAATATTTAAATGCATACATATATAAGGATATAATATTTTTATATTATCTATATTTTATATTTATATAAAAATTAATCTAGTATATTGTATATAATTATTATATTTTATCTATTTATTATATATTTATTATATATTATAATTACATTATATTATCTATAAATATTATAGATACTAATATAAATAGAATCATAGATTTTTTTATAATTATAATTTTGCAATTGTAATTTTTATAATTAGTAAATATTGGTGAACTGAAGGGAAATCTCAGAACGAGGCAGGTGCTCAGCTGAGGATGGGGTGCAGGGTGAGGTTTTTTGGGGGTAAAACCAGGATGTTCTGCCCCCTCTCCGGGTGATAAATGAGATTTTTGGGATGTGTGGACACCCAGGCTGCGTGGAAATTCCTGGAATTCCTGTGCAGTGGGAGGAAGGAACCCCAAAATCCCGGATTGGTTTGGGATGGGAGGGTTTGAACTCATCCCATTCCAGGGGCAGGGACTCCTCCCGCTGCCCCAGGCTGGAAGATTTGCTGTTCCCTCTTGGAGGAATAATCCAGGATAATTCAAAATCCAGGAGCTGGCCTGGGATGGGCAGAGCTCCATCCATGCTTCCCTCTCTAATTCCAGCTCCAATTCCCCCATCCCTGCGTTTCCCTGGAAACCAGGAGGGTTTTTTATCTTGAGAGGAGGCTCAGGGATTTGGGAAAGCGACACCAAAATGAGGGCAGGAGGATGAAAAAGGCAGAAAAACCTTGGGGGATTTTCTTGCTGCTTTTTTTGGGAGAAGGAGCTTTAGTGAGAGGCAGCCTCTGCTGTCAGATAAATATTAATGCAGCCTTTGCAGTGTCCCAGCCCATTAGAAATTCCCTTTCTTCTGAGAAAAATATTGGAGTTTTCACGTGGATTGAACTGAGGAACTTCAGTTCTTCCTCCAGGATCTGTCGAGTCTGAGGAGAGAACGATCCACAAATCCAGAAATGGCTTTGGAGTGCCTTCAATAACTTGGACACGGTTTTGGGAGCTGAATTTGGGCTTTGCCAGGGACACTTTCACTGCTCAGGGGCCTGGGGAAATCATCATTTCATCAGATACATCCTGGTTTACCAGAACATCTTTGTGAGCAGCTCCAGGACCTCACAGAAACCCCAAACTGTTGGGATGACCCCAAACCCCAAACTTCCTTTCTGAAGGAATTTTTTTCTCTTGGAAACCCCAAAGTTTCCAACCCACAGGGAAGGAACCCAAAACCTTCCCCAATCCCTGATGGATTTCAGCTTCTCATCTCTGAGGGACCCACCCTGGGCTGCTCTCCTGGGAGCCAGGGGACAATGGGATGGGTTTGAGCAGCTGGAAAGGTGAAAATGATGGGAGAAATCGGCCGTGATTTGTGTTAATTTGGGGAATTCCAAGTCTGCACCGCTGGACTGGGAATGTCCTGGAATTCCAGAAGGGTTTGGGATCTAATTCCAACCTTCCTCCCACTGTCCTGAGCTGCTCCAGCCTGGCCTTGGGCACTGCCAGGGATCCAGGGGCAGCCACAGCTGCTCTGGGAATTCCCAATTCCCAATATCCCATCCATCCCTGCTCTCTGGCACTGGGAGCCATTCCCTGGCTCCTGTCCCTCCATCCCTTGTCCCCAGTCCCTCTCCAGCTCTCCTGGAGCCCCTTCAGGCCCTGCAAGGGGCTCGGAGCTCTCCCTGGATCCTTTCCTTCTCCAGGGGAACATTCCCAGCTCTCCCTGGATCCTTCCCTTCTCCAGGGGAACATTCCCAGCTCTCCCTGGATCCTTCCCTTCTCCAGGTGAACATTCCCAGCTCTCCCAGTTTGTCCTGGAGAACCACCCAGCTATGGAGAGGTTTAGGAGGGATCATCTCATTCTCATCCAGGTGGTTGGATCCAAGCTGGAATTCCAGGCAGTCCTGGACATGCTGGAATATCCTTGCACCTGGAAATTCCAAAATCTGGATTTCTGGCCATTTTTTATTGTTTAAGGAAACTTCTCCCCATTTCTTCGAGCCGACAGAACCGGTGGATGCTGAAATTCAGGAATTCAGGGATTCACCAGGCGCTGATGGAAATTATTTTCCTTCCAACATTGGCCTGATAAAAACCTCATTAATCTGATAATTAATGTATGGAAACTCATTCTGCAGCGCTCCCTAATTTAAATCCGAGCAAAACCAATGTAGGAACCATCCCTGTGGGAATCAAAATCCAGCTCCTCCCTGCTGATCCCAAACTGGGCCACAATTCCCGAAATCCTGCAGTGCCCAGAGCTGATGGATTAATTCATATTTATGGATGGGATAAAAAAAATAAAGAGATAAAAAATTCTTTAACAGGATCCTGCTTTGAATTTGGGGATTCACGGCCGGGAAGGGAAAGGGATTGTGGAAATTTGGGAATTGTGGACAGGGAACAGCCAGGCCTGGAATGGGACCTTGTTCCTCTTGGGCTGGGCCTTTAAAAAGGGGGAATTTGCAGGGATGAGCCAGAAAATCATTAAAAAAAACCTGGTGTGGTGTTCCATGTTCTGCTTTTTTTGTGGATTTAAACAGAGAATTTTCAGGGATGAGCTGGGAAGTTGCAATATATCAGTGTGGTGTTCCCTGTTCCTGCCTTTTTTTGTGGATTTAAACAGGGAATTTTGAGGGATGAGCCAGGGAATCATAATAAACTGGTGTGGTGTTCCCTGTTCCTGCTTTTATAGTGGATTTAAACAGAGGGAATTTTCAGGGATGAGCTGGGAAGTTGCAATAAATCAGTGTGGTATTCCCTGTTCCTGCCTTTTTGGTGGATTTAAACGGAATTTTCAGGGATGAGCCAGGAATTGGTGTGGTGTTCCCTGTTCCTGCCTTTTTTGTGGATTTAAATGGAATTTTCAGGGATGAGGCAGGGAGTCACAATAAACCAATGAGATATTCCCTATCCTTGTGGTTTTTTGGGAATATTCCCTGTTGCTGGCAGGAAGGGCTGAGGTGCTGGAGTCAAACATCCACATTTTTATCCTTGCCAGGACCTTTTCCTCCTTTATTCCCACCAACATTTCCTGCTCATCCTCTGGAAAACTCCCTCATCCTGAAGCAGTGGATGGATTTTCCTCTTTCCTTGCTTTTCTCTCCCAAAAAGGAGGTTTGGGATGGATGAGAACTGGGAATTTTTTGCAGGTACAACACGTTGCCGAGCAGGAGAACGCTGAAGAACTCGCGGTTGGTGAGTAAGAAGGACGATGTCCACGTGTGCATCATGTGCCTCAGGGCCATCATGAACTACCAGGTAATTCCTGGGAATTCCTCCTGGGAAGAGGGAAGGGAATGCTGGAGTAAAGTGGATGGGAATGTGGGGATTTTACTGGAATGGGAAGGGGTGGGATGCAATCCTGTTGGGAAATCTGGTGTTTTGGGAAAGGGTAATAAGAGGTTGGATGTGTTTATTGTGTTCATTTGGCATGCAGCTAATTAGGTTGTAATTGTATTTTAAGGTTATTATTCTATTATTAGATTATTATTATGTTATATATAATATAATATAATATAATATAATATAATATAATATAATATAATATAATATAATATAATATAATATAATATAACATAATATAACATAATATAATATAATATAGTATTATATTATATTATATTACATTACATTACATTACATTATATTATATTATATTATATTATATTATATTATATTATATTATATTATATTATATTATATTACTTTTCATTATATTAATATATAATATCTTAGATTATAATATATATAATTATGATATTATATAATTATGATTATAATAATAGATAATATATAATACATAATAATACATTATAATAATATAGTTTATATTATATTATATTATATTATATTATATTATATTATATTAAATTATTATATAATAATATCTTATATTATAATATAATATATATAATTATGATATATTATTTGATAATATATAATATATAGTACATAATAATATAAAATATAGAATACATAATAATATATTATTTTATATAGATTATATGTATTATACATACACTATTATATACATTATGTTAGAATCTATTATTATAATATATTATATATTATTATATAATATATCATAATAAGATATATTATGATTTAATATATTATTATATATTATATTATTATGTATTATATTTTATATATTATTATATAATATATTATATAATACATGTAATTATATTATAATTATTATATATTAAATTAAATTATTATAAATTAAATAAAATATAAATAAATAAAAATACATCTAAATAGAAATAAATAAAAATTTATAAAGAAATTCTAAGGAGGGTGGGAGAAGGGAATCCTGTGGTTTTCAGTCCATGGGAGAGGTGGGATTGGGGCTTTGGGGTGGGATCGAGGCGGGATCGTCCCTTCTCTTCCCAGTACGGATTCAACATGGTCATGTCCCACCCGCACGCCGTCAACGAGATCGCGCTGAGCCTCAACAACAAAAACCCCAGGTAGGCTCCCCGGGCTGGCAGGTGAGCCAGGAGAGCTGGGAATGCCCTTCCAGAGGGGGATTTGTGGGAACAATCCAGCCTGGGCTCTGGATCAGGTGGAACTGGAATGGTGCAGATAAAGCTGCAGTGGCTGTGTGAGGGCAGCGCTCTCAGGAGCTGAGAGCTTGCATTGGTCCAGGATGAGGGAGGGTGGGTTTGGCTGGGATGTTGGGAATTGGGAATTCCTGGCTGGGATGGAATTCCCAGAGAGGCTGGGGCTGCCCCTGGATCCCTGGGAGTGTCCCAGGCCAGGCTGGAGCAGTCTGGGGCAGTGGGAGGTGTCCCTGCCCATGGCACGGGTGCCACTGGATCATCTTTGAGCTCCTTCCCACCCAAACCATCCTGGAATGTTGGGATTCAGCTGGAATTTGGCTGCTGGAGCCCTTCTGCTCTGTTACAGTGCAGGGAAACCCCACTGGCAACGGTGTGGGATTCTCCTGAAGAGAGGGAAAATCTTCTTTAGGAAATGTCATCCAAGATCCTTAGCTTGGAATTTCTCTGGGAATTTCTCTGGGAGAAGGATTCATTTCTGTTGTGGCTCAGGCTGCAGCCACAGCCATGATGCTGGAGTTCCTCAGTGGAACTGCTGGTGATTTCCATGTGCCTCCTCTCCCACACATCCCTGTGATCCCACCTCCAGCACATCCTGGAGTTCTGCACCTTGGCAGCTCCAACAAATCCCCAGAGATGCTTCCAAGGAAAGGTGAAACGGGGGGATGAGGTGGGAACCAGCACTGGATGTGGATTCCCAGCCTGGCTGGGGCTGGAGCAGGAATCCTGTCCTGAGGGAAGCAGCTTCCTCCTTCTTCCTTTTATTCGGCCCCAAGTCAGCAAGCCAAGAATAAATGAGAAGTTTATTGCTTTTATAATTTTTAAAATCATTTTTATCATCATTTTTATCATTTTTCCAGTGCCTGGAGATCAGGGGAGAAGCCAAGTTTTCACTTTTGGAAGAAGTGGGTTATTTGGATTTTGGTGGATAAAAAAACTGCTTTCAGATGTGACTGGAATAACCTGAGGTTTAATCCCTGCTCAGATCCCAAACTGAGTTTGTTTTAGCCCCATGGGAGCTGTTGGAGAGGTTTGGGAGCTCAGGGCTGGCTGGGATGTGCCAAGGGGAAGCAGCAGCAGAATTCCAGGGAATTCTCCTCATCCCAGAGGTGTGGGCAGCACTGGAGACTCCAATCCCAGAGATCTCCATCCCCTCCGAGGGAATATTGCAGCAAATCCCCACAACATCTCCTTGATCCTGAAAAACCCTGGAAGTTCTTGTGGCAGGAGGAAAAAAAAACAACAAAAAAACCCTCGAGGGGGCAGAATTGAACATTCCATTTAAAATTTCCTAGGGAAGGGACCATTTTTTCTGGTTTCCAAAGATAACCTTGAGCCTTTGAGAGCCCACAAGGTATTTCTTGTTCTGTAACATCTGCTTTGAGTCGCTGCTTGAGCATGGGACTAATTTTTTTCTGTGTGTGCATGGTTTGCCTCTGCTCAGAGAGAGCTCAGCTGCCCAGAAAGTCTTTTGTTTTCCAGGAATCCTGGAAGGAAACACTGTGGATGATTTTCCACTGGGTTTGCTGCATGTTTTTCCCTCGGTGATTTCGTTTTCTCTCTGTTTCACTGCTGAGAAATCGGCTCAAATTCCTGGTTTTTATGGGAAAAGGACGTGCTCCAACAGCCTGTGTTCCTGCAGTGATTTTTTGTGTGTGTGTGTGTGTGGAGGTGGCTAAAAATCCAAATGATCACGGAGAATAATTGAGATTTGTGTCAGGGAAAGCACAGGTTGGAATTGGAAGCTGTTCCATCAAACCCTGGGCTCCAGGGAAGGTGGTTCTGCTCCTCCAGGTGTGTGCAGGGAATTCCCTGGGAGCAGGGAAACACCTCCTTTGCCAGAGTGCTGCCAGCTCCTTCCTGCTTGGATTCCCACCTTGGGATTTCCACACGGGATGAGGCTGCAGCTCCCACCTTTTCCCTCAGCAGGGAATCAGGGATCAGGTCCTGAGCATCTCCCGTTGTTTTCTCCACAGGACAAAGGCCCTGGTGCTGGAGCTCCTGGCAGCCGTTTGCCTCGTCCGAGGGGGCCACGAGATCATTTTGTCTGCATTTGATAACTTCAAGGAGGTTGGTGGAGCTGCTTTAGGAAATTTTGGTGTCCCTGTTTCTCCTGGGATTGATTGGAGCCTCCTCCTCCAGCTCAGTTCCCAGCAGGAAGGGTTTTCCATGAGCTGCAGGTTTTCCCTGGAGCACCGTGGTGGCCATTCCATCGTTTTCACCATGATTCCAATAATCCCAGCGCTGCCCAGGGCAGGAAAACACTGCTGGAATGGGATAGCTGAGCTCCTTCAGCAGCATTCCCAGCCCTTTGTCCTGCTTTCCATGGATCTGGGAGAAGCAGCTCCCTGGTTTTATCCGGCCTTGCCTGAGGCTGGAGTTACAGGAGGAGCGGAATTCCAGGAGAGCTGTGGGACAGCTTTGGGATGTTCCATTGAAATCCAAACACTCTGAGAGCTCTGAGGGATCCAAAGGGGGATCTGAGTGAATAAACCAGGAATAATCCTGGCTGTGTGCAGGGAGCAATTCCCAACACTGGCTGTTGTGTTGTTTCATACAAAAATATTCCAGAATATTTTGGGATTCCCATTTGGGAGGGGAGGGCGTGCTCGTGACCTCTCTGGGTGGGAAATCATTTGGAATTTGCAAATAAACCCAGGATTCAGGTGCTTTGGAAATAAACCCAGAACTGAGGAGCTTTCCTGAAGCTGATCCATAACTCTGAAGAATCCAATGGGTTTTGCTCCAAGGCAAGAAGAAATGCCAAGAAAATTAATTTGGATTCAGCTAATCCAGACAATTTTTGGGAAGGTGGCTCTGGAATTCTGACCAGCTGATTGTTGCACTGATTTATTTTCACTCCTCCTTTAGCCAGGGGTAATTTTCTCTTTTTTTCCCCTCCCTATCATTTGGGTTTCTCCCTAATTACAGAGCAAAGTCAGCTCGGAGCTGTGGCACAGCCTGGTCCTTCCACTCATGGATAAAATCCAATAGTTTTGTTCTTTTTAAGGAGAAAAGAGATAAAAAGAGGGTTTTTTTGTAATTAAAACATCCAACAATGGCCCCTGGCTCCTCAGGTGTGCACATGGAATGATTTATGAGGAGGGATGTTTTTCCCAGAGGAAACCGAGAGGGTCTGAGCGAGCAGAGAAATTGGGAATTCTCTGTGGGAATTCTTGAGCCCGGCTGTGGTGTTTGTTTTCAGGTGTGTGGGGAGAAGCAGCGCTTCGAGAAGCTCATGGAACATTTCAGGAATGAAGACAACAACATTGACTTCATGGTGAGTGGTGTTTTCCCAGAAATTCCCGGTTTTTCCATCATTTTCCTTCCCTGGGCCTGGCCCTGCTGTCACAGGCAGAAGTTTTTGGAGGGTTGGTGGTTCTGGGGCTGGTGGTGGCAAAAAAATCTCCCAAATCTGAGGCTTTAAGGTCTGTGCTGGAGTGTTGGAAGCTGAAATCCTACTTTTAACCAGGAAAAATCCCCCTTGAATTCCTGCTCGGTGCTTGGATCCGACGTGGCTCCGTTCTGGGCAGGTTTTCCCACCCCAGCACTGGAATTCCGAGGCCTCTGTTGCCCTTTGTAGCAATTTAGTGCTGAGCTTTGTGTGAAAGATCTTTTCCTGCCAAAAATCAGGTGTTAAATCACCAGTGAGGTGATTCCTGTGGGATTTGACGGCTCCAGGAATGTTTCCAGGACAGGATCATGGCCTTGAGGGCCAGCAGGTTAAAAACGAGCTGGTGTGAGGGAGACAGGCTGGAAAATTCCTGGGATTTCAAAGGAAAAGGAGGAAATTACCTGATTTTCACTCTCAGATTTATCCTTTCACTTTTTCCTCTGGGCCCTGGAACAGATCCCAGAGAAGTGTCCAAATTCCAGTGCCAAACTGGTGATCCAGAGGTGCCTTCAGTTCGCTCTTCCCATCAAATGACCCAGAGACGTGGAGTCTCCTGGAGGTTTTTTCTGGGGATAAAATCCAATTGCTTCAATCCTCAGGTTCCTCCTGGGAATCTGGGAAGGATCCCAGTGGATGGTGGGAAGCTGCTCTTGCCATGCTGCTCATGGGATGGGGTTTTATCCATGAGAAACCCAGCAAGGATGAGGGGAATTCCTTCCTGGAGCAGCTCCAGGGGTGACAGATGGGATCCTGAGAGGCCTGGGGCACAGCAGGGTGTGGCAAAGGGGGGACAAGTTTTGGGAATTGTCCCCCAATTCCTGCCACTCCACAGATTTCCCCACATCCCATACCCTGGAGAGCCTTGGCCTTCCCTGGCTGGGCTGGGTGTGGATCCTGGGGTCTGCTCCTGGTTCAGTTTGGGAAGTGTGCTTTGGGCAGCCAGCAAAGCCCTTCCGTGCCCTTTCCTAAACTGGGGCTTCCAGGCCTGGATTAACCTCCCAGGCCCAGACTAACCTCACTTCCCCAGCTGCTTAAAACCAGGCCTGGATTCATCTCCCTTTTCCAGGCTGGTTAAACCTTTTCCAGGCTGGTTAAACCCAAGGCCTGGATTAACCTCACTTTTCCAGGTTAAACCCAAGGCCTGGATTAATCTCCCTTTTCCTGGTTAAACCCAGGATGGATTTTTTCCTGGTGCCTGCTCTGGCCCGGAGCATTCCCGCTCTGGGAAGGTGACTCTGCAGGCAGGACTCAGCTCCTGGAATGCTCATTCCCCGTTATCCCAGCAGACAGAATTCCCTGATCCCGAGCCAGGGCTGGCCTGCAGTGGGGCAGTCAAGGAGACATCTCCCGCTTCTCCAGGGGGGAAATGTTCCGAGGGGGAGCTGCTCCTGGAGCTCCTGTTCCAGTGGCAGCCCCGTTCCCGCTGCTCAGGGGATCCCTGGCTCACTGGGCTGTCCTTGCAGGTGGCCTGCATGCAGTTCATCAACATCGTGGTGCACTCCGTGGAGGACATGAACTTCCGAGTGCACCTCCAGTACGAGTTCACCAAGCTGGGCCTGGATGAGTACCTGGATGTGAGTCTGGGGCTGCTCCCGTTCCCAATCCTCCCTTTCCCACCTCCCCAGCCCTCACCCCACAGCTGCTGGGCTGTCCCACAGCTGGGCCAGCAGGGGAGGGCTGCAGCCAGCTGCAATTACAGCCTGCAGCTAAATCTGGAGCCTGATAACAAAGGGAGGATGAACCACAGCCATCCTCGCCCTGCCACGTCCCCCAGCCACCCAGCTCCCTCCTTCTCCAGGCTGGAAAAGTCTCCCTTGGGATTCTCTGACAGCCAGGAGTCCTCTGCTGTCTGTCTGTCTGTCTGTCTGTCAGATGGAAGCTGCTTCTTTCTGTTTTCCATGGGATCCCAGAGTGGTTTGGGTTGGAAGGGACCTGCAGGAGTTTCCCCCACTGTCCCAGGCTGCTCCAAGCCCTGTCCAGCCTGGCCTTGGACACTTCCAGGGCTGGGGGCAGCCTCAGCCTCTGCAGGCAGCGTTTTCCTCCCTGTCCTTGGGAGCACATCCCTGGAAACGCTGCTGCTGCTGGCAGGGGAATGCCTTGTCCCTGCTGATCCCTGCTCAGGATCCACCGGGAGAGGGGTTTGGGCTCTGTGGGATGTGCTTGGACACGGCTGCACCGGCCATGGGTGTGCTCAGGGTCTGGGGCTGGCTCTGGGGACTCCGTGGGGAGCAGGCAGAGCCATTCCCAGTGAGCACAGAGAAATCATGGAATGGTTTGGGCTGGGAATGGCCCTGAAGCTCCCTGTGATCCCTTCCATGGGTAGGGAATGGCCCTGAAGATTCCCTGTGAGCCCTTCCATGGGCTGGGAATGGCCCTGAAGCTCCCTGTGAGCCCTTCCATGGGCAGGGAATGGCCCTGAAGCTCCCTGTGATCCCTTCCATGGGCAGGGAATGGCCCTGAAGCTCCCTGTGAGCCCTTCCATGGGCAGGGAATGGCCCTGAAGATTCCCTGTGATCCCTTCCATGGGCTGGGAATGGCCCTGAAGATTCCCTGTGAGCCCTCCCAAGGGCAGGGAAGCTGGAGCAGAGGAAAAGGCCCTGATTAACTGAGCTGGGGGTGTTCGGTGTGCAAAGGGATTCCCTGGCTGGTGGAGGAGCCCTGAGCTGCCAGGACTGTCCCAGTGCTTGGTGTGACCTGTGTCCCTGTGTCCCTTTGTCGGTGTGTCTGTGTGTCTCTGTGTCCCTGTGTCCCCATGTCCCTGCCATCCCTGTGTCCGTGTGTCTGTGTGTCCTCTGGTCCCCATGTCCCTGTGGTGTCCCCATGTCCCTGTCCCCATGTCCCCATGTCCCCATGTCCCTGTCCCCATGTCCCCGTATCCGTGTCCCCGTATCCGTGTCCCCGTATCCGTGTCCCCGTGTCCCCGTGTCCCCATGTCCCCATGCCCATGTCCCCATGTCCCCATGCCCATGTCCTCGTGTCCCCACATCCATGTCCCCGTGTCCCCCACACCCACAGAAGCTGAAGCACACGGAGAGTGACAAGCTGCAGGTGCAGATCCAGGCCTACCTGGACAACGTCTTTGACGTGGGGGCTCTGCTGGAGGACGCAGAGACCAAGAACGCAGCCCTGGAGAGGGTGGAGGAGCTGGAGGAGAACCTGTCCCACGTGAGTGGCCCACGGTGCCACCTGCATTCCGGATTTGGGAGGAGGGAAAAGCTTTGGGATTGCTGGGCCAATGGACTGGGAACAAAATCAGACGCTGGTTGTGCTTCCAGGAGGATTCTCCCGGCACAGGGAGCCTCTGCCCAGCTGGAGGAGCTGGGAGAACTGGTTCACATGGATAATTCCAGCTCCTCAGCAGAGCAGGCCCAAAATGGGGGAGAAACCATCCTGGCCATGCTTTAAACAGGAGCTCAGGAGGGAAGGGGCTGGAAAATCCTCTGGTGTAGATGCTCAGGGTTCGCTGTCCCAAACCTTGGTGTCGGTTCCTTTAGGCTGGAAGACATGGCCTGGCTTTTGGAAAAGAATAAAAATTTAAAAAAAGGTTTTCCATACTTTAAAACTGAGAAAAGGCTTTTCCTTCCCTGCCCATCCCTGAATTCCCACCGCTTGGAATGAATAATGCTCCTGGCTCGCTGTGCAGTGTTTGCCCCTCTGAGGAGCTGCAGGAACCAGGGAATGGTTTGGGATGGAAGGGACATTAAAACCCACACGGTTCATGGACACCTCCCATGTCCCAGGCTGCTCCAAACCCATTCCCACTTGATGTCTCCCATCTCAGGCAGGAATCTCTTCCTTTTCCAAGGAAAGGCTCCAGGGTTTCCTGGAATATCAGTAATTTATCCATTTACCCAAGAAGCGAGCTTAGTTTCATGGATAAATCCCCAGTTTTCCAGGGAGTTAATCCATTTCTCTTTTGTGGGATAGTTATCTGAAAAACTCCAGGACACGGAGAACGAAGCCATGGCCAAGATTGTGGAACTGGAAAAGCAACTCATGCAAAGGAACAAAGAACTGGACGTGATCCGGGTGAGTGGGATGGGGAAGGCCCGGATGGATTCAGGATGCAGGGAGTGGAGATCCCGGATTTGGGGCAGGGGAATTCTCTTGGCTTCCCAGTATTGGAGCTGGGGCAGATTCCAGGTGGAGTTGTTTGTGTGTGCACTCAAAGGATGGACAGAAATGCCTTTGGATGTGCCAGGAATCACTGAGTGAGATGGACACATCTCATTCCCCAGGTCTGGAGCATTCCAGGGGGGAATTTTGGACCTGTGGAGGTCCCAAAGGGTGGGAGAATCCAGAATTCCTGTGTGGGCACGTGCAGTGCAATCCCCTCTCTGGATCAGGCTGCTCTGGTCCTGCCCTTGGAATTCTGAACGCGCATTCCCCGCTCCTGTGTGATTCCAGGAGATCTACAAGGATGCAAACAGCCAGGTTCACACCCTGAGGAAGATGGTGAAGGAGAAGGAGGAAGCCATCCAGCGCCAATCCACGCTGGAGAAGAAGATCCATGAGCTGGAGAAGCAGGGAACCATCAAGATCCAGAAGAAAGGGGATGGGGACATCTCCATCCTTCCCGTGGCCCTGGGCTCCGGGGCGGTGCCGGCAGGAGCCGAGGCGGTGCCGGGGGCCTGTGCCACGCCTGGAGCGGCCNTCCGGCGGTTCCGCTGCCCCCTCCGCCACCGCCCTCGGCTCCCCCCCTGCCCGGCACAGCCTCGCCCACCGTGGTCTTCAACTCTGGCCTGGCAGGTAAAGCTCTCCCAGGGATGGGCAGGGACCCCCAGAGCCCTCCAGAACCCAATCCCAGCTCCTCCCTGGGCTTGGGATGCGGAGCTGGCGGAAGGAAGGAGTTCTGCAGTCTCGGAGCTGCCCAGAGCAGCTGTGGCTGCCCCATGCATCCCTGGAGGTGTCCAAGGTCAGCTTGGAGCCACCTGGGATAGGGGAACTGGATAATCCTCTCTGTCCCTGATTCTGGGATTCTGGGATTTATCAACCCAGCGCTTTGGGTTTGGTCTGGAAGAGTTGGATTTTCCAGTGGAACAAAACTCACACCAAAAGCGTTTCACAAACTGGGTCACTTTGGACTTTGACAGAATATGGGTTGGATTTCTTCTGAGGAGAAACACCTGTGCAACATTTGGGAATATTCCTGTAGAAATTTGGGGAATAAAAAAGGCAAAACTTGGGTGTTTTTTGGAAGGAAGAACAATCTGGTGCCCATCCTTAGCCGTGCCAGGAGTCCCAGGGAGCCAGTGAGGGCTCAAGGCTGTCCCCAGGAACCTCCAGAGCTCAAAACAAGAGACTCTCATCAAGAGCTTCGTTAAAGACAAAACATCTAATTAAATATTCCAGCCTTGAAAGGTTCCTTGGAAGACAAAAAGCATCCTGAGAATCCCAGGGTGTCCTGTAGGAAAATGAAGCCCCAAAGGGAGGGCCGATCCCTCGGGATGTGGCCTGGGGGCTGCTGGGGGCTGCAGATCCCATTTTTCACTGGGAATTCCCAGGGAATGGGACTGGAAGTGCCTTTTGTGGATGCAGTGGCTCCATGGGAAGGAGCATTCCCAGGGCAGGAACGCTGTGGGGCTGGGGGGAGGTGGGAAATAACAAATGCTGCTTTTCTGACCTTTCCTAACACTTTTTTCTCTGTTCCTTCTGCTGCCTGCTAAGATGGGCCCATCAAGCTCTTCTGTAGGTTCCTTCCTGCTAAGTATTCCTTATCCCGGCATTCCCTGGCTCCTGGGGGTATCCAGGGGCTCCTGGGGGTATCCAGGGGATGGGCAGGGGGAGGTCAGAGCCAGCCCTTGGGATTTGGGAGCTCAGGAAGGGACGAGGAGCAGGAAGGGAAATCAGAAGGAGTTCTGAGCTCCATTGTCTTTCCCATTCCTGCCTTCCCTGTCCTGGAATAACCCAGGAGCAGTTAATTATCCTTTCCAAGGCGAAAATTCCTTTTTCCACGGGTGTTCAAGGCTATTCCTTCTTTTATTTTAGGAATTTTGTGTAACCCCATCAATTTAGCAGAAAGCAAAACCCTGTTTAGTGTAGCTGAGCACAAGCTGGATAAATACAATTCCCAAAATACCCACTGGAATATTCTGTGTATTCCCTGTTATCCACTTGGCATCCAGCACTGCAGGATCCGGGTTTGTGTTCCACACCTGCCAGAGTTTTTGGGAAGTAATTTAGGAGCAAGTGATTGGTTGATGGATTTAATTAAATTGATTTTGTAGCAAGGAACAAATTTGTGTTCCCATGTGAGGAAAAAGAAATGGGAACTGGATTATGGAAATTATTCATGTGGCTTCCAGATGGAATGGGATAGGGATAGGATGGGAATGGGAGTGGGAGTGGGAATGGGAATGGGAATAGGATAGAATAGAAATAGAAATAGAAATAGAAATATAGAAATAGAAATAGGATGGGAGTGGGAATAGGAATAGGAGTAGGAATAGGAATAGGAATAGGAATAGGAATAGGAATAGGAATAGGAATAATGTTGTTCCCTTGCTCAGTCAGGCTTCATCTCCAGGTTTCATTTTCACAGCTCCTCTGTTTGAATTCCTGAATAGCTCCAAAGTTCCCAAATGACTCGGGTTTGCTGGATTTGCTCAGCACAGGAACTAAAACCTGGTTTTAAACCCCTTTTAAAGCCCAGCTTTGCTGCAGCTCAGCCCTTTTGGCCTTGAAACTCAAACCTGCTGAGGATCCTGCAGTTCCCCCAAATCCCATTTCCCAAAACCTTGGGAACGGGGCTTTTTTCCCTCCTGGTCAGAGCGGGCTCTGCCAGCAGCAGAATTCACTGAATTCACCCCCTGTCCCCCTTTTCCATGGAATTTGGGCAGAGCCTGGGAGTTCAGATCAGTGCAGGCACCTCGTGGCCATAGAGGAATCCCAGATTTCCCTTTGGGAAGTTTGCAGAGCCCTGGGGGTCGGTGCTGTCCTGCTGAGGGCTGGGATTCTCCTCTGGAGGCAGGAACAGCTTTCCAGGATTCCAGTGGGATAATGAGGTTTGCCCAGTCCTTCTCCAGCGCTGAATTCCAGCTGGGGAGCCGCCCTGCGGTGTTCCCAGGCGGATTTTCAGGAGCTGTCCGTGTCCTGTCCCCAGCTGTCAAGATCAAGAAGCCCATCAAGACCAAGTTCCGCATGCCCGTCTTCAACTGGGTGGCCCTGAAACCCAACCAGATCAACGGCACCGTCTTCAACGAGATCGACGACGAGCGCATCCTGGAGGTACCCGGGAAAGCCTGGAATCATGGAATGTCAGCCTTGGAAAAGCCTCTGGGAGCGCCCCAGCCCAGCCCTCAACCCAGCACTGCCCTTGTCCCCATCCACAGGGGTAAATCCCTCCAGGAATGGGGGTTCCAGCCTTTTCCAGTGCCTGGCCACGCTTGCCAGGAAGGAGTTTTCCCAATATCCAATGGATGTTTTCCCAATATCCAGCTAAACCTCGGCTGGAGCAACCTGATCCCGTTTTCTGCCATCCCTGTTCCCTGTCAGGGAATTGTGGGGAATCTCCACAGGGAAAGGGCTCATTCCAGGTCCTGGATGCTCCCCTGGATGCTTTATCCATGGATGGGTACTGCTCACAAAAGTTCTCCTGGATTCCTGAGCTGTTTGGGGCTGGGTTTCTGGGATCTGGCCAGCTTTCCTCATCCCAGCTCAGGAATGTTCCTTCCATCCCTCAGCCTCTGACAGAACTCTCTGGATTCCAAAGGTTGGACAGGGCTGGAAAAACCTGGGCTATGGGAAAGTGTCCCTGCCCATGGCAGGGGGTGGAACTGGGAAAAGCCTAAAGATTCCAACCCAAACTATTCCCATGATTCCATGATCCAGTCAAAGCTTTTCCTGCAGTTCTGGGTGAGGATTTAGCATTCCCTGCAGGATAAATCCTTCCCTTCCCAGGATCTGAACGTGGATGAATTCGAGGAAATATTCAAAACGAAAGCCCAGGGCCCAGCCATGGATCTGACTTCCAGCAAGCAGAAGATCCCTCAGAAAGGATCCAACAAAGTCACGCTGCTGGATGCCAACAGAGCCAAGAATTTGGCCATCACCCTGCGGAAAGCCGGGAAAACGGCGGATGAGATCTGCAAAGCCATCCACGTGTGAGTGCAGCCCTGCAGCCAGGGAATCCTGCCCCAGCTTCCCTGGGAGTGCTGGGAAACGGTTTGGGGTTGGCACTTGATGGGAAAATTCCAGCTGGGGAAGGAGGGAATGGTGGTGAATTCCCAGAAATCAGAGTGCCTGGAACTCAGGAACTCAGCTTTGTGTGGCTGAGTCACTGCTGGGGTTGGAGCAGCTCAGTCCAGCCTGCCCAGTTTGCCAGGGCAGCTCCCGGTCTGTTCCACGATGTTTCCCGTTCCAGTGAGCAAAATCTGGGAAGAGGAGGCTCTTTTGGTTTGCTCCATGAGGGATGGGTTTGGTCCAGGTGCTGGAGCAGATTTTGCATGGAATTGGGTTTGGGGAGCAGGCTCAGGAGCTGATCCAGATCCTTCCCTGTCCTGGGACAGCTGTAGCTGCTCCTTGGGGCTGATCCCAAATCCATCCAGACTCATCCTGGCCATGGCAAACATGTCCCACTCCTCCCTAAGGAATGTCTCCAAAGTGTGGGTGCACAAGCCTTGCCTTTGGCTGAGGGAGACCCAAAGCTGCCCCAGGTCCTGGCAGCTTCAGCTCCTGGCTTTAGGGGGCTCTGGGCCAATTCAATACAAGTATTTGCTGCTCCCCACCTCTTTTCCCTGGAAAAGTGGAGGGGTGGGGGAACGGCCACGTGTTTGGGAATGGAAGCAGCATCATTCCCATTATCCCTGGATCCTGTTCCCATCTGCCTGGGCAGGGCAGGAGGAGCTTCACAGCTTCTTCCTTGATTTTCCTCATGTGGAGCTGAATCCCAGATTGCTTTGGGTTGGGAAGGACCTGAAAGCCCATCCCATCCATCCAGGGACAGCTCCCACCATCCCAGGCTGCTCCAAGCCCTCTCCAGCCTGGCCTTGGGCACTGCCAGGGGCAGCCACAACTTTGCTGGGAAATCCAGCCCAGCCAGGAATTCCCAATTCCCAATATCCCATCCATCCCTGCCCTCTGGCACTGGGAGCCATTCCCTGGCTCCTGTCCCTCCATCCCTTGTCCCCAGTCCCTCTCCAGCTCTCCTGGAGCCCCTTCAGGCCCTGCAAGGGGCTCGGAGCTCTCCCTGGATCCTTCCCTTCTCCAGGGGAACATTCCCAGCTCTCCCTGCATCCTTCCCTTCTCCAGGGGAACATTCCCAGCTCTCCCTGGATCCTTCCCTTCTCCAGGGGAACATTCCCAGCTCTCCCAGCCAGGCTCCAGAGTCCATGGCCACTTCCCCAAAGCTGAGCTTTGTCCCCACAGCCTTTTCCCGGGATTTTCCCGCAGGTTTGACCTGAAGACACTGCCGGTGGATTTTGTGGAATGCCTGATGCGGTTCCTGCCCACGGAGAACGAGGTGAAGGTGCTGAGGCTGTACGAGAGGGAGAGGAAGCCCCTGGAGAACCTGTCTGACGAGGACAGGTTCATGATGCAGTTCAGCAAGATCGAGCGGCTCATGCAGAAAATGACCATCATGGCCTTCATCGGCAACTTCGCCGAGAGCATCCAGATGCTCACCCCGGTCAGTGGGAGCAGGGAATCCACGGGATCTGAGCCCTGGCCCTGCCCAGACACCCCAAAACCCCACCCTGGGCACCCCTGGCTGTCCCAACACTCCTGGAGCTCCGGCAGCCTCGGGAATGTGCCCATTCCCTGGGGAGCCCCAGCACCCCCAAAGGAATGTGGCTGGGAAAAGTCACTCTTGGTGCTGGCCCTTGGGCCCGTGGGATTGTATTCCTGAAAGCCTGGGATGGCTGTAGGGCTTGGAATGTAAATCCTCACATCTGAGGGGGTAAAGCTGGCAGGAGATGAACGGTTTGGAATCCTGGAGTGTCAGGGCAGGGGAGCATTCCCAGCATCCCAGAGCGGGTTGGGTTGGAAGGGAGAAGGAATAGCTCATTCCTGGCCATGGCAGGGACAGCTCCCACCATCCCAGGTTGCTCCAGCCCCAATGTCCAGCCTGGCCTTGGACAGGGATCCAGAGATCCAGGAGCAGACACAGCTGCTCTGGGAATTTCAGACTACCCAGGAATTCCCAATTCCCAATATCCCATCCATCCCTGCCCTCTGGCACTGGGAGCCATTCCCTGGCTCCTGTCCCTCCATCCCTTGTCCCCAGTCCCTCTCCAGCTCTCCTGGAGCCCCTTCAGGCCCTGCAAGGGGCTCGGAGCTCTCCCTGGATCCTTCCCTTCTCCAGGGGAACATTCCCAGCTCTCCCTGGATCCTTCCCTTCTCCAGGGGAACATTCCCAGCTCTCCCTGGATCCTTCCCTTCTCCAGGGGAACATTCCCAGCTC